TCCAATTCCTTTTCTCCATTTATTGTTTTTAACACTGCTTAACTTTAGCCCTAGCCATGTTCCAATGAATAAAAGAAATGCTTCTCAGTTATGTAAAGCCAACCGGCCACGTAATTATCCGTTAAAGATAAGGTGGCTTTTGAAGCCACTGTCGGTTGCCATGGAGCTCAGTCTCATGAAGCAGGAGAATATGCTTTATTATTTAATGCTAATATCAACACTACAGCTTATGTGCTCTCACAATGATCTAAAATACATAATCAACAATATAAATATACATAAAACATTTAAATATCCAAATAAACAATATTTGGCATAACACCGAGGCAGATTCGACGGAGGTATGAAGAGGATAGGGTATACAAATACCACCTTGCTGGGGGTTCAACTGCAGCAACACACCTAAAGCCAATATTAACCCAACAAAATCCGCAGTAAAATAATCACACTAAATCCCATCCCTGCAACACCCCCTCCCCCCCCACTTCTTCATAGATCTAAACTTAATACCCGGTTTCAGAACACCACACTTACTATGTGCAATCTAATCTACAGGACCTTAAATTCCAATAATAACCTTGACCTAAAATGCTTTCTTGATTAGTTGTGACAGGATCCACAGGCATAACACCAACACAATACATCTTCTATGACATTCCCCGTGTTCGACTAAACTTTTACAAAAATTCAATGTATTTCAAAGGACCTAAAATCTGGAACACCCTACCTGAAAACTCTAGAACTTCAGACACATTCATCACTTTCAAAACTACAGTTAGAAAACATCTTATCTCCCTGATCCACCCCGACAACTAACTACATGATAACCCACCTGTGGTTCAAAATTACACTCACTCACCCACTAACTATAAACCCAGAAATACTAATCTTAATCTTAAAATAATAAATCCTAACTAGTCATAAGTTTGCCTATGATACTCCAATATAGACACCTTGTATTGTGCCAAAACAAAAGCATTCACATTGCTAAACTCAAAAATTATGATGTAGTCACTTAGCCTTAATACCATAATCTGTAAGGATTTAATGTTAAGAATTAATCTAAGTCTGCTGGAAATGCCTAGCCATGCTAGGTGTCCTAGTGGCCCCCTCTGTAATTAGTATTTTATAACATGTAAACCACAAAATACCCAAAACCTGTAAACCCCACATTGTAACCCTTATAGAGAATAAACTTGAATTGAATTGAATTCTCCTATCCCTGTCTTGGTGGCTTATATTAGAGAAAACGGAGTGTAGCACAGGGCTAACTGTGATATACACTGCACCATAAACATGAAACAAAAGTTATTTTCTCTATATAGATTATCACACACAGCAGCATAGGTGTAGAGAACCTAGGATAACCCAAAAAAGTCAACGTGGCTTATTTTTAGTGCCTGGCTTGGGTTAGCCATATATGATTTTTGGTAAATATTCAATTCCCAGCCAGGGTAGAAACATTGGGCGTGTTTCTTTACACCTGTTGTCTATGTTTACCCATCAGTAAATGGGTACCTGGGTGTTAGCCGACTAGTGTGGGTGTTATCCTGGGACACTGACCTAATTTTCTTGAAATACTCAGCATAACAAGCGGCTTTCTATACAGTAGTATGTCACTGATGTCAGCTAGGCCTGTATACCTTGTACATGTACGTGTAGTAAATAAAGATATTTTTTTTTTTCAACAAGTCGGCCGTCTCCCACCGAGGCAGGGTGACCCAAAAAAGAAAGAAAATCCCCAAAAAGAAAATACTTTCATCATCATTCAACACTTTCACCACACTCACACATTATCACTGTTTTTGCAGAGGTGCTCAGAATACAACAGTTTAGAAGCATATACGTATAAAGATACACAACATATCCCTCCAAACTGCCAATATCCCAAACCCCTCCTTTAAATGCAGGCATTGTATTTTCCCCATTTCCGGGAAAAAGCCCCGACTATAAAAAAAAAACCCGGGTTTTTCCCTTTAACCCTTAAAACTAAATATTCCCCTTTGCTCACACTCCAACAGTTTTTCGTAAAGGTCCCAAGTATCATTCGTCTCCATTCACTCCAAACAAACACCTTGCGGGGAACCAATCCAACCCCCTTGCCCACAAAACCTCCTTTAAACCCCCCTCTTTCCCAACCCCTTTTCAGGACCCCCCTCCCCCTCCTTCCTTCCCCTATAGTTTATTTTTGTTTTTCCGAATCATTCTACTTTGTCCATTCTCTCAAAAAGGCCCCAAACCACCTCAAAAAAACCCCCTCTCTGCCTTTTTGACTAATGTTTTTATTAACTCCACACCTTCTCCCAAATTTTTCCCACACTCTAAATTTTCTTGCAAATATTTACACCACACATTGCCCTTAGACAGACATCCCCCACTCCCTTTCCAAAACCGTCTCCCCTCGCGCTCATTTACCCCCCAACTTCACATCCATAAAAAGAGTTTTGGGAACTCAAATACTTTCATACATTCCCTTCTTTCCCTCCATAGATAACGTTTTTTACTCCACATATACCTAAACGAAACCACTCAACCCATTTTTCCCTCATAAATTTTCTATGATTAACCTCATCCTTAAAAAAATTCCATCTCCCAAAACACGTCAACCTCCCAAGTATCTGAAAACTTTTAAATTTCTTCCAAACCCCTCCCCCCCAAATTTTGGGATATCCAATTTTTTTTTATCAAAAATAAATTTGATCCCCATCACCAATTTCTTTTCTTTTTTCCCACTTTCAACTTTCAAAACCTTTCCCAACACATTCTCAAACTCATCCACTAACCTTTGAAATTTTTCTTTAAAAACTCCCAAAAGCACAGTATCTTTCAAAAAAAAGTAACTGTGTCAATTCCCATTTTAAAATTTGTTTCCCCCAAAATTTTAAAACCCCACCCCTCCTCCAAAAAAACCCTACTTTACTTTTTTTACAACCCCATCTATAAAATATTAAAAAACCCAAAGGGGGACTTTAAACACTTCCCTGCCCTAAACCACTTTTCCCCGGGAAGTTTTTTCCCCTCTCTTCTACAAACCCTAACCTGAGTTTTCACTATCCCCCAAAAAAAAAAAAATTTACAGCATTTAGAAATTTAAACCACCATTCCATATACTTGCAACATCTGCCACTTTGCTCCTCAAACCACTCTATCAAAATGCCTTTTCTAAACCCAAAAATTTGAAAATATTATTATTAAATTTTTAATTAATTTTCTCATTGTTTTTTGGGGTTTATCTTTTTAAAAACCTGGGCAATGTATGATGGAAAAATACTTTTTAAACATAGACCAAAAATGAAAAAATGGGCCCATAAAAGCGGATTTTCACTTCTCAACCATTACGGCCGTTGGGCGGTAAAATTTTTTTTTTTTTTTAGGGTTAAAACCCTCTTTTTTTTCCAGTCTCATTTGATAGAATAAAGATATATTAAAGAAATAGATTTTTATTTTGATTGCTTTCATGATGAAAAGTCCCCTTAAAATTGGCGCTAAACAGAAAAGCAAAATTTTCAATTCTTTAACGAACCTCAAAGTAAAAAAAATTTCCCGCACCGTCCAATACCTGCCCCCTCCCCACCAAGAAGGGGTTTGAATTTTTTAAATTAAAATTTTCAGAGTATTAAAATAATGCAGTAGTTTTCAAAAAAACATAAAATTCAAGATTAATGTAAGGGGGGGGCCTGGACCGTGACTAATGAACAGAGAAAATGAAAATTTTTAGGGGCCGGGAAAGTCTACAATGTTTTTTCTGGACTCTATTTTGAAATTGACATCTGTTAAAATTTGTGTAAAATTTGGGCCCAAAAACTCCCCAATTTTCTGACCATTTTAAAATTGGGTAGCTGAAATAAGAAATGGGCAGTTTCCCTTGTACCATTTTGACAGACTAAAATTAAATAAGTTTATTCGGGTTAACACAAAAACGTTCCCATAGATTATAAAAACAAGCTGATGAAAAGAGAACCTTTAAATAACCCAAAAAAATCAAACAAAGTGATTTTTTTTTCCCAAACCCTTTGACTTGGGCTTGCCATTTTTGTTTTTGGAAAAATTTTTTTTTTTCTCGGTTGTTTTTTTGGGGCTTTTTAAAGAAACTTGGGCAATTTTATGATGGAAAAAACCCTTTTTAAATGTACAAAAAAAATTAAAAAAGATGGACAATAAAAAAGGGGGTTCACTTCTCAGCCATTACCCCCAAAGCAGTAAATTTTTTGAAAGGGTTTTTTTTAGGGTTTTAAACCCTCTTTTTTTTTTTTGCTCTCTTTTGATAAAAGGGAAATATATTTACAGAAATAGACATGTTTTTGGTTTTTGCTTTCATGATGAAAAGTCCCTTTAAAAAGGGACTAAAAGTAGGGGAAAAAATTTTCGTTTTTTTGGCCGGGGTTAAAATAAAATTTTGTGTAAGCCCAATTTGGTTAAAATTTTATTAATTGTATTCTAACCTAACCATTTCTGTAATCCAGCAAACTCAAAATTCCGGGCACACTACAGGCCCCCAATGATCCCCGGATTTGTAAAGGGGACCTGTCAAGAAATATAATTTCAAAGCAAACAACTCAGCTTTGGGCCTTTTTTTTTTGCTTGTCAAATAATGGCATATTCAGGGGAATTTAAACTGTAACAATGAAAAAAGATAACAATGAAACCTCCCAAACAGTTTTGGGGAAAAAAAAGATGGCCCATACAGCTCATATTTTGGACTGTCCCATGTAAATTGGGATTCTGGTCACCTTGTGCATACATGAAACTCCTTTAAATTTTTTGAACAAATTAAAAACCCGACAATAAATATAGATTTAAAAAACTTAACAACAAAATCAACAACAACAAAAAAATTTGAATATTTAAGGGTACAACAAGCTTGTTTTTAAAAAAGAAGAAACTTTACCTGTAGACCAGATCTTCAAAATATTTTCCCAAGAACCATTTCAAAAAAATGCTTGCGGGTGGGCAGCAACACCCAACACTCCCGAAATGGTTTACCCCCGACACTCACTCACACAATTTCCCCAGTTTTTGGTCTCCCCCTTTCCAAACCCATACACTGCGTCTGGTCTATTGATGTACTGGGAAAAAAATTTTTTTTTTTTAGGGAAAAAAAAAAAAATAAAGTTTAAAAAAAAAAAAATAATTGGGGGTAATCCATTTACCTTTACACATAAGGGGGGACAAGGCACCCCAAAATACTGGCCTTTCTCATAGCAACTAGCAAAGCCCCACTGAAAAAAAAATAAAGTAAAAAGTTACCAAAGAAAAATGAATAAAAACACTTTAAGAAAAAAAAAAAAAAACCTGGATTAAAAAGCATAATCGACGGGTTTATAGTAGCGAAAAACCTTAGGGTTGGCCCCCGAAAAAAAATCCTATCAAGCTGTTTTTTTTTTTTCCCGGATTCACTTACAATGGCACTCTTAAAAAACATTTTAAAAGTCATTTTGGGAAACCCCAATTTTAGGAAAGCCTTGAAATACAAAATTGGGTGCCATGGGCATTTACAGTTAGGAAACCCTTGAAAAAATCTGCAAACCCTTTTTACCCAAGTAAACCCCAAAACAATGTGTAATTACTAGAAAATTTTATTTTATTTACACCAAAGACTTTAAGGCCCTTATTTCCATGACAAATCAAAAAAATACCATTTTAAATTGGGGGGCTCGAAAAAAAAATAAGGGGTGGGGGAAAATTTTTTTTTGGAAATTTTAAGTCCCTTTATAGCTAATCAAAAAATTTTTCATTTCCCCCGGCAATTTTAATGGACGAACTCCCCCAATAAATGCCAAGGAAAGACTGGCGAAGACAGTGCTACAGTGGGCGAAAAGGGTTTAAGGACATTAAACAATGTAGTCAAACACACAATGATGGGCCCCCTTTTAATTTTGGGAAAAGGGTTTCGTTTGATCAGTGAAAATATATAATTTACCTTGAAAACAACTATACAGTGGACCCCCCCATAAAGATGGGATCAATACGAATTTTTTCGCATACCGCTTACTTTAATTTTCAAAAAAATTTTTCCTCACATACCGCTTTTAAAAAAAAAGCTTTTCCGATTTTCTTCCGAGAAAGCGCTCACAAAAGTTCCGCCGGTGGCATTGTTTACCAGCCAGCCTCCGCGGTAACATCCCCAAACATACAATCGGAATAATTTTGTATTATTAAAAGTGTTTTCCGGGGCTTTTTTTCTGGAAAAAAAATGGGCCATGGGGCCCCAAGAAAGCTTCTAGTGCCAACCCCAAAAAGCAAAAAGGGGGAGAATTACAATAGAGAAGAAGAAAAAGATCAATTTTATAATTAAAGAAAGTGGAGTGCCTTCTCCAGCGGGCCCGGTTTTAAAATTTTAAACCCCCCAAACAACCTCGCAAATAATTTGGGGGTACACTGCTGCGCTGCTGCACTGTCAGCTGCTGCTGCGGGTCTAGCACCGTTGTTGGGGGGTTTGGGTTTTTTAAGAATAAACCCAAAAAACAATTAACCCCCCGAGGGTTTGCCACCCCCTAACCCAAAAAAGTTTAGTGTCATCGAAGACTGCTAAAATTATTTCCATTGGGGGGCCCCTTTAAACTTATCTCCCCGGATTAAAACCCCCACAAGTTTTTACTAACCCCAGGGGAACAGGGAAAAATGCCTGGGAAAATAGTGCTTCCCTATTGGGGAATTTAAAGCCAGCAAAGGTTGGTTTTAGAGATTTTAAAAAAATCATAGTGGGGATACAAAAAGTGTGGGTAAGGCCCTTTTTTGGAAGAAAATGCCAAAAAGGGCCCAAGGGACCAGGGGGAAAAAGGGACTCCCCAGGACACAGTGTCTCATTTAGCATTGCTGAAACTTCAATAAAGGTAATTTTCCCTTTATTCTTCATTTAGTAGACTAGTACATGCACAATATAAACGTGCAAGTAAATACTCCCAAAAATAATTTTGCATGTATCCTTCTCTTTGTGTGGGGGAAAAAAGTAAAATTTCATGTGGTAAAATTTTTTTTTTCCCCTAAATTTTGGGTGTCCCTTTCACCCGGGTTAAAATTTAAATTTTCCAAAATTATTTCTTAAAGGGGGGAAAATTTATTCACATAAAAGAATTTTTTCGCATAACAATTACCCCTCTTGCACGGGTTAAAATCAAATTTAAACCCGGGGTTTCCCCTGTAAAAAACGCTACCCAAAAACAGAGAAAAAAAATAAAGGAAAAAAAAGGGAAAAGAGAAAACAGATGAAAAAATCCGCTAAGTTGTTCTCTCGATCTCAAAAATAAAACTAATTTTTAGTGTTCTAAAACCCTCAATTTCCCAAAATGTGGGGAAAAATTTTCCCCCTAAAGGGGGTATCTCTCACCCCCCTCATCCTCTGAGGGGCCCTTTGCCCTTCCCGGGTAGTGGACTCTTCCTTCCTTCACAACCTTTATTAGAACCACAAGTTAAACCCGGCATCTCCATTCACGCTCTCTCCCTTTCTAAATGTCTGATCAACTCCCCAATTTAGTGTTAAAACCCAAAGTAAATTAAAAATTTTCTTCACAAACAGGAAAATTAAGGAAAACCTGCACTCCATTTAATCTACAAGTTGGGGCTATTATAACTTCTAGTGTACAGGTAAATAACAAGAAATCTACCCTCTTGTGTTAATTCTGATTGCACAGACTAGCAACGAATGTACATAAACACGAGTTCAGCATATTCTTTTGTGAAGACGTAGAAATGGAGGGCAAAGAGGGCAGCGGCCTTAGATGCTTCAAGGAATGAGCGAGACGTGTGTGTCACGAGGACATTCCCGCCTTATCGTTAAAAGACAAAGGGACAGTAGTGACTAGTGCGTTGACTCATGTTCATTCTGACAATCTCAGGAAACTAGGAACGTCAGAGTACGTCGTTCCCTTATAACGAGCCAGGAAATTACGCAGTAGAACTAACCACATAGTGTTTTATTGTGTGTCTGTGTTCTCCCTGCTGTGGATAATTCCACAAAACTATGAACAAATAATGGTATTGAATGGTGTAATTTACAACTGGTATTGTGATGAATGCAACGAACATTACCGATGTTTGAGCAAACATTAGTGCAACATTCCCAGAAGACACTTTTTTCTCACAATTCTTCAGTCAAGTCACCGGATATTGGCCTTAACGGCACTTGTCAACAACATAAACTTACATTACATGAGCACATGTAAGGCTTAATCGTCACTTGAACTGCAGTCCTGGGGCAGACACAAAGGATTAGGGATGTCCTATTCAAGGTCGTATATTTGCGGCCCTTTATGCCCATACCAATGAGTACCACTATGCATTTCAAATAATATGAAATGCTGGATATAAGCATCCTTTGGGGCAAAATGTATGACTAAAGCAATCCAAAGGCAATACAGGTGAGATCTGCTGGAATTCGTGTTGTTAACAGATAAGTACGTCTTTTCATAGGTTTATTGTCATCCAGGAAGTGTACTTTATCTAACAATTCTCCACCACAGATAAAAATAAGTTAACCCTTTGAGTCCAAGCCGTATATCTATGTCATTGCTCAGATCCACTCCAGATAAGCTGTAAGCTGTAAATTTTAGAACGCTAGATTATCAGAGAATGCATCTATGAGATTAATGTGCACATATAAAACAATCCTACGCATGCAATTAATGAGAAAAAAAGAATGTGGCCTTGTTTTTTTGGATTAAACACCGACCTGCATGTATTTTCATATGGCTTTTTTATGGTTGCATTTCAGTTTCTTGGTACCATTTGATAGAATGGAAGATATTACCTGGAGTTTACCTGGGGGAGAGAGTTTCGGGGGTCACTCCCCCGCGGGCCCCAGTAAAACATATCATTACAGAAATTAGAGAATGATTTTTCATTGGTTTTAGTACTGAAAATAAAGCTTGAAACTGAGCTCTAAGGTAGCAGAAATGTTCGATTTTTGCTGATGTCATGAGTAAAAAATCACATCATACAGTCCAATACACGTCAGCTGGTTGGGTCTACTTATCTTTTACAAATGCGCTGATATTATTTTATAACCATTTTTACAATAATCAGTAATCTGCATAAGAGTAAATCTTCTATTTTTTGTGTTTACCTGGAGTTTTACCTGGAGAGAGTTTCGGGGTCAACGCCCCCTGCGTCCCGGTCAGTACCAGGCCTCCTGGTTGGAACAGCCCCAGATCAACCAGGCTGATGCTGCTGGCCTGCAACGCAAACCAACGTACGAGCCACAGCCCGGTCTGAATCAGGAACTTGACTTTAGGTGCTGTCCAGTGCCAGCTTGAAGACTGCCAGGGTCTGTTTTTTAATCCCCCTTATGTGTTCTGGGAGCAGTTTTGAACAGTCCCTCTGGCCCCTTACACTTAATGTATGTGTCCCTTAACAAGCAGTGCACCCCTGCTTTTCATTGGGGGATGGTAGCACGTCTGCCAAGAGTCTTTTGCTTAACTGTAGTGAGTGATTTTCGTGTGCAAGTTCGGTGTAAATAAAAATTCAAAATGGAAAGCAAGCATAATGTAAGAGGGGCCTGGAGATGTGACTAATGAACAGAGAAAATGTTATTTTAGTGCCTAGAATGTTTGCATTGTTAATTCTGGACTTTATCTTGAAATTGGTCAAATTAACCCTTATTCTGATCACTTTATTGGGTAGTTGAAATTGGTAAATGGGCTGTTTCTTGTACTCAGTCGATTCAACGAAAGGAGTTCTATCGAAATAACTACGAGTTTGGTCAACTGGAATAATGGAATTGGCCAAAAATAGGGCTCAAAGTAGGCAAAATCGCCCAATGGTAAAATATTGCCAACCCGATAACTTATTCGAGAAGCGTAATTTCCATAATTTAACCATCAATTTTCGTACATTTGTATTATTACCAACAGGCCAAGATTCCCCCTCTATCATTCATAAAATTTTTTTTTAAATTCCTTCGACACTGAGAGCAAGTTTGTGAGGGCGGGGTCTCGACAATAAAGGGTTAATTTTCCTTATTTTTGTTACTCTTGCTGATAATAATTTAAAAACAGTTATATGAATATTGGGTGTAGAAGAGTGCAAGTCATCTGTTTATCAGGTGCCTCACTCAGCATATGTGATCATT